CCACTCTGGACGTCACGAGACCCCCCCCCCTCCTGGGTGACCAGTTCTTTCTCTTTCTTCACCAACAAAGTGTCGTATTAATGATAACCCAGAGGTTAAAGCAATGTTTCACGATGTTTCTTCGCATAAGACTCTTTAAGATCCAAGGACTCCCTGATTAAAGGAGACAGGCTCTGAAGTTACTGATTGATAATGTGGCACAGCAATTTGTTTAACGCTCTGTTCAGGGTGAGTGACAGAGACTGGCATAAATAAAAGTGTTAGGTAATTGCACTTCTGGGAAGGGGGTGGGACTTCAAGGGGGTGGAGTCAGGGGCAGATCCAATCAACACTCCCCTCCCTCTTCAGCGGCAGGTCACTGTGACCTTCCTAAGCATCCTCCATAGTCCACAGTTTGAACACGAGGGGCCGACTGCCACCCCCCACAGCAGCAAAGCTCTTTCAGATTGGGGATTTGTATTCTGCTCACGGATCTGTTTATGCAACGCAGTGCATCCTTTCAACAAGACCGGAGAGCTATCTGGGATTTCAGTCAAATGCACACACACAAATCCTACACTTTCACTGCTCCCCCTAAACATGGTTCTTACACATAAGGCTTTCTCTTACAGGAGAGAGCCGTCCAGCACTGCAGCACTGTCCGCGTCCATGTCTGCATATGTGCAGGACAGGTGGCATTAACTGAAGGGCACAGTGCCATCTCATTCACATACACAAACAAAATCAGGAGACCATTATCCTGCAGTAATCATACAGTACTCCCACTCACTATACATATTTGCACTCCCAATTACTCACTGCTCAGTGCCCACTGTTCACAACCCAATGCCCAATACATTCTGTCCACTCACTGCTCACTCCTCACTAATATAATTATTCCTAGAATAACACCCATTCCCTGTAACATTGTACCACAAAGACCCATTCCATTGTCAAGGCAGGTCAGGGAATCAACGGCTCACAGTATTGGCAGATTTGTGCACTATAAACCTTTTTATAGTGGGGAGGGGGGGGGGTACTTTGTCCTCCAAAACAGCACTGGTCATGTGACAGCAAAGGCAGGCATCATTGAGTCCCTTCAGAGCTGAGGCTATTGGGATAAGTGCAGTGGTCGTTAAGTGGTCACCATTAAGCATCCGTGACAGTATGGGTGACGACAGAGCGGTCAATACGGAGATTGATGGAGGAGCTGATACGGGTCTGTCTCCTGCTGACACATATGGATTATAAGGCAGTGGTTTACTTACAGCTGACATGCAGCTGGATAAAGTCAGAGAAAATGGCAGCTTCATCCTCCCTATGAACTTAGCACTCGCCACAACACCATTGTTAGACAACAAATGAGTTAATGAGAATTAGGGCATCAAGAGAGTCACAGTGAGATGTCATTCTTTCACAGGGGTAATACATCTGCTCTCACTCCACTGAATAGGAATGGGGGGTATTAAGTGGCAATGAGGCAGACCCCCCACAGGGCAGTTTGAGAGTGACGGGGTATTTGCTTAACCGCCCCAGCGAGAAGATGTCAGAAGGGTAGCAGAGCAGCCCAGTGAGCAGAGGTCCTGGTTCTCTAAAAAAAAAGGTATGATAAGTTCTTGTAGCTCAAAACTGAGATCATAGGATTCAAAGTTTATTACTGCAAATGATGGGCAAAGGACGACTGTAGGGTAACTTAATCAGAGCAACAAAGGTACTGTAGTTCATTCCCCTGAGTCCTCTCTTCCTCCCCCTTCCCCACAGACACACTTTTTATACTTGCAAAATGTGTGCGATAGCAGACTGAAGGAACGAAACACCTCACATCAGCAGCATGTCAAACAAACAAACCTGTTTGTCGATCAGCTTTGGACTGAACAACAAGCAAAAGGAAGCAAATCGCACACAATCACAACTAGGAGAACACAGAGGCACGGCTGGCGGGTCATCATATACCCGTACAGCACCGCAGAACTGCTGCGTTAGACTTAGGAGGAAAGCGTCACCTTTCCTGAGCCTGCGGCTCCTGGTGCTTCAATGCCTTTGTGGGGGAGGGGTTTGTTTTTTAGGAGGTGGGAGGAGGGACACTGGTCGCAGATGTCTCAGGAAGCACTTCCTGCGGCAGGCAGCCTGTGCCAGTTTCAAGGGGCTCACCTGTTGAACCTTTCATTGCTAATGAAGAGGGGCCACACAGACATGCTGCTGCCTCATTCTTGCTCCTTGTCCACCATAAGGGGGATTAACCGTTGCCCTGTAGGGCACCCCCCCCCCCCCAAAACACACCCCGAAGCACCCAACCGGGAGGAAAAATGGGTAGCAGCACGCAGACACTGTGTATGATAATCAGCGGCTTGTCTGTGTCACAACAGCTGCTGTTAGAGAGGAAAGGAGGGCTGGAGGGTTTAGAAATACTGAAAATGTTTGAGGGAGCCCACATTTATCCAGCTCTCAGACGTGAGACCACAGGCTTAGTGCACGTGCGACAAACCCACGAGCACACGAGTGGCACACTGAGGGGTCACCGGCTCTAACAACGGCGTCCAAATTCATTCTTCCCCTGCAAACTCCAAACTCCCCATTACATGTGGTGCGAAAACTCACAAAGGAGAGATCGAAGCCCTTCATAAGACAATGCAGAAGTGGGTCATTGCTCTGATTCACAGATGTTACATAAACTGCCTTTTGCACACTTGTGTCACATTATTACTCATCAGTTTCTATTCCCCTCGACTCAATGGCAAAAGCTAATGAGAAATATAGCATAGAACTGTTTTTTGTGATTGAGCTAGGCAATTATACGCACGTTCTCACAGAATATCTCAGATATTGTCACCGCCAAAACATTTCTCTTATTAATAATTCTGTACTGAGCTGTCAGATTAATTTAATTTTCTAAGACTTCTGTTGAGCCATTGTTCTTTTCTTTGAGGGGGGGATGGTTAATTAGATTAGACGAAAAGCATGTTCCTGCCGGCTTTCAGCACCAAGCAACACGAAGCATCTTTTCATTTCTCCACCAGAAAACAAGGAATGTTCTTTACGTAAACACACTTCTTACACACGTAAGGAATGTTAGGCCAATGGCATTATTAACGTGTAGGAAAATGTTGCTTTTCGATGCAGGATGAATACAGCCACATAAGAGGTCTTCGCCAAAAAGGCTAGAGAACAGACTCTGAGGAGAAAATCCACATTTTATATACGCTTTTAAATCTTTGGTCTGGCTATTTGTCTGGTCTAGTCAAGCTTCCCTCCTGGGGGGGGTTGTGATTTCCCGGCGAGCTATGAAAACTCTAAAAAGGATTTAACTGAGGCTAGTACAGTTCTATATAACAGAATACGGAGTAATATAATCACGTTCCTGAAGAGAAAAGCTCCACATCATATTGCTGGTCCAGTTTCAGCTGAAAGGCTGGTGTAATCAAGTCAATGACACTGACAGCTTTTCCTGTTTTTATTTACACGTTGTGATGCAGTTTTTTTTCACACTTGCTACAGTATCATCACTAGACTTGAAAAGAATTCGAGAACTTTGAACACCAACGTGAAGAGGCAGGAAATTGTAATAAATAAATGGGATAAACGTTCCCCAACTTGGACAAGAAAATGTCATCTGAAACACATCTCAAAATTACACACAAAGATTTGGTTTTGTTCTTGGTCAGTTATCTTTAGGTTCTGAGAAACAGTGTTCTGAATACGTGTCATAAAGGCCAGGCCATTTTTTTGGAAGGAATATACACATCAGGAGAAATATAAAGACACCAGAGGACCTAGACTTCATACCACTTCAGAGCAGGAGTAAACATTTGAAAGTATTCCTACAAAAGGAAGGATTCTCTCTGTCTTCATCAAAGGACAGTCATCAGGACTCACAAGCAGCTACGGCTGTTCCTCCCTGATTTTAGCAATTTTACCGACCCTTATCCAAACGCCTGAATGTCATGAGGGTCACTTGCCTGAGCCACATCCCTCTCTGATGGACATGCTGCTATATTTTCTCCACACTTCCCCAGGTGCAGAGAAACCACCAGCATTCGCCGAAGAAGAAGCTTTTAAGGAGCTTCATAAGGACTTGATTCTCCAAAAGTGTCTGTTGCCAGGAGACAGATTTACGCTCCTAGCATCTCGTGTGAGTATCCTGGCATGAGGCACAAAAGCAGAATCCCTTAAAGGTGTTTTTAGACCGACAGGCTTTTACTTCAACAGGCATTATCACGCATAACATGAGGCTCCCAAAACAACGCAGCACTGACAGGAACCCGAATCCCCAAAGTCAGCTTCCCACAAGCGGCGAGGATCAGCACGCAGATACTCAAAGCAGGCAACAAATACTATAAAAAAGAGCAAAGTTCAACCGCCCAATACCCGCCTAGCTTGGAAAGGCTGCCCCTGTAAATACTGCCTGTGAACTCATCCTGTGCATTTGACTTTTGAATGAATCGCACACTCCTGGCATGAGAATGCACGCTCTACACGCCCTTTCCTCAAACAGCCACCTCGGTGAGTACGAGACAGAGAGCGGCGGTTCAGCTGAGTGACTTCAGCAGATAAAGCGTGCGCACGTTTAACTCACTGATCCTCACTTGCGCCGCAAAGATTAGGTAGTGAGAGGGCATGGATCAATGGATCAAACACAGGGATCATAGTAGGAAAGACGTCCTGAATGCTCTGTAGGGGTTTAAGTGCCTGACAGAGGGTGCTGTCTGCGTATGCGCTATGCGCTACAGCACAGGAATGCAGACAGACAGGTTAACAGCGGAGAGTCCAACGTCTGCCTGCTACGCTGCCTGCCACGTTCACTTTGAACTCAGCGGACTTTCAAAGCAATTTCATCGGCAAGCCCGGGACGGCGCTGCTCATTCAATGGGCCGTGTGCCCCTCACTGTGGGGGCGGAGAAAGTTTACTCCAACTTTCCCACATGGCCAGCGTAAGAAGGCGTGAGAGTGAATGAGACAGAGAAAAGGGTATAAAGAGAGAGAGAAACTGAGAACGAAGGGGAGAAAGCGGGCTGTTGTCCTACCTGAAAGGCGTCCGAATGCGACAGTGGGTCCTCTCCCCTCAGGAATACTTGCTGCCCCCTTCTGAAAAATTGAATGAGTGCAATTAGAATGTGCTGCAGGGTCAGGACCATGGCTCAGCTGCTGCTCTCACAAGCTGTCCTGCCCCGAGTCTGTGTCTCCCACTTGGTGCTCCGGGTATTCGCCCACAGAAGCGCCGACATCTACACACACTCTCCCGCTTATCTCTCGCTTGCTCTCTCTCCCTCGCTTGCTCGCTCTCCTCCCCCTTCCGTGTGTGTGTGAGACTGTTTGTGCTTCACAGAGGCTCGCCCCGGTGCTTACTGCTGCCTCTCTGTCCCTGTCTCCATGGCTGTCATGTCACCTCCACCTGCCGCCCATCGCGATGGGGACTACCCTCCTGTCAGAGGCGTGTGTGAGAAGCACAGGGACTGAGCGAGGCTGTCGCTCCAGACACCTTCTCCTCCTCTCTCTCCCTCTCTCTCATTGCCTCTCCTCCTCTCTCACTTACTTGCTCCCTCACTCCAACATTGGTCTGTGCTGGAGCTCCTCAGGGTCTCAAAGCCTGCAATTGCATTGAGTCTAGACACAAGGACCAACCATCTAGAGGCACCCTGGCATAAGCATGGACACGCTTTTACCCTCAGGAGGCCCTGAGATCAGGTCACTCTCAGGCAATGACTCTGTCCCCACTCAGGAGGCTTTCAGGAGAATTTCAGGAGTATTTCAGGAGTATTTGAAGAAACAATTTGAGGCCAAACTATCCCTACACAGATGTCCTCCTTCTCTCTGAACTGTCACAGCATCCATAGAATATTTCTTCAATTGTTTTGACAAAAAAAATCACCAAAATACCATAAATTGATATTTCAATGCTTCAGTGAAGAGTAACTGACGTTTTAAGGAGTGCTTAAAAATGTATTTTGGAAATGATAAAGCATGTATAAATGCTTAAATGGTAGATGCGTGAGTCCCACAGAGACTGACCCCATGCTTGACACCGCTTTATCTGCCGTAGGAAAGCCTCGTGTTCCTCTGCTAAACTGCGCCATGAAGGCCTCAGAGCTGCACCAGGAAGCTCCCCAGTGCGCAGTGTGCCAGTGTGAGGCTTCCCCAGTGCGCAGTGTGCCAGTGTGAGGCTTCCCCAGTGCGCAGTGTGCCAGTGTGAGGCTTCGGAGGCGCTCAGTCAACCGAGGGTTTAAACTGCAGCAGGGAGAAAATGCCCCGAATGAACACAGTCTGACGAGTAAATTACACCTACAAGACTCCATCCCAAAGCAGGAACAAGAGAAATTACAGTCAAATTATTGTCTATTCTGTCATCATACTGTAACTCCCAAGCGCTCACCATATGTCTCCAGACACCACAACATATTTCACAGCTGCATAGTCCCCGATGAAAAGGCACTTTATTAATGACATGACTCAATATGCCTTTATGAGTAGGAAATGAGCTTAATTAGTGAGGAAAAACACCAGCGCCGCAAACACATCTGCAAAGCCATATAAGGCCCAGTTTGGTAAGAAGACATGGGCTGCTGTCTATACAAGCTCATGGACAGAAATGTGTGGAAGCAGAATTGATCCAGAGAACCTGATGGAAAAGGCCCAACTGCTACAGCTTTGAGAACATTTCTTTAGCGGCTTGCAGGTGTTTTTTTTTCTGCTAATCAAAATATGAATGTATACTCAGGTACCCTAATTACAGAAGGACGCTTTATCCTCTACCTCCATAAACAGGCAAAAGTTAAACAAAGAAAATAATAAAATAGCCAAAATTTCATAAAAACAGCACTGCAAAAGGCCAAAACATAAAGAGGTCACCATCACATGCCATGACAGCGTATGAAGAATGTGTGAGTAGAGGAAGGATTAAATGAAATTGGGGCTTGGAAGAAAAGAGGGGCGGAGTTTTGCACAATGAAGGTGTCACAGCAGCCCACGGGTTTCAGAACACAAGCCCTTAGCTGACAGATCTGTCAGACCAAAGTTCCTCACCATATATGGACAGATGGCAAGGCAAAGAGCACACACGTATAAAACAGAATGAGAGGCAGAAATAGAGAAAGATGGAAGGAACGACATAAACAGACAAAAAGAGGGAAAGAGAGAGTCTAACTGAAAATATAAGGAAACAACAGTGGATAAGATGCTTTAACGAGATTACAGTGTCAATTAATCACATTTCAAAGAAACATCCAGCAATATGATCAGTGTTAACGAGAGGCATCACACTTGCAAGTAAATTCTTATCTCTGAAAAGATTCAGTTGTCAGGGAAACATTCAACAAGCATGTGGTGAATCACAACCTGCCTCTCCATTATCAGATCTTGCCACGTTATTTATTCAGACAGGAAAACAGTGATAGATTTTATCCAGCATATCCTTCTCCTGTGGGGACAAGTCAGAAACACGTAAAGTGAGAAACATCCCATACTGGTCTGAACCCACAATCACTGTCTCCCCCAGTAGAGAAGACATCACATCTTCTTTAACAGAGGTGTGGAGTTGAGAGGTTATCCTCAGTTAAACGCCTGACAACTAGCAAGTGTTTTGCAAAGCTGACCACAAATTGGATGTTGCCATTCCACAAGCAGGACTCTTTGCAACTGAGACACAACGTGGCTCTGCTGTGACACTGTCCCATGATTTGCCCCCTGCCCCTCCCAACAGACAATTTTGTTATGAGCTCGTTACTTCCGTGAGTCAGGCTCCTGTGGAATTTCTCAAGAACGCAATACGAGACTAAGCAGAAGCAAATCTAACAAATCGGGCCTGGGGTGTAAACAAACGGAAAACAAAACATCGAAACAACAAGAATTCTTGACTCCCAAACATTTTTCCTACAAAGAAATGATGGAAGGCTCCTCACATTCACTAGCTTTTTTCACGTATTAGAAATTCTGTGTAAGCGGCAAGATCCAAGTGCAGCAGTATAAAGATAAAAAGCAGGCAAAAAAGAATTTCAGTGTAGATTTAGTGATGTGAGGACTGGCTGCAGAGCTGGTTATGGCTGAGAGGTGCAGCCGGAGCCCGACGCGACAGGAGCACTTACGCTGACATGCTGGGCTGACTGGAGGTGACTGGAGGTGACTGGAGGTAACTGGCCTCACAGTGTCGTCGTGTCCGAGGTAGGTTTGCGGGCCGTGCTGTGCGATCGCTGGAGGGCGGACTGGGATGGAGAAGCGAGTGCACGCTGTCCGGGAGATCCAAGGGGAGTTTGTGTGTGTCTGCGTGTGTGTGTGTGTGTGTGTGTATGTGTGTGAAAGCATAGGGAAGGAAGGGCAAAGGGTAGAGCAGAACCGGGAAGGGGGAAGTTACATCCCACTGACACATTCTCCCTCACAGACATACAAACACAAGCATAGACACAGAGCATCTCTCTCTCTCTCTCTCTCTCTCTCTGTCTTACACTCCTCACACAGACACTTCCTTTGGTCATGGTGTCAGTCACCACAGCTCAACAGGAAGTGGATACTGTGTCCGGAGATCAATCAAAGCTGTCTGGTGAAGAAGTCACATGAACAAAGTTTTGCAATGAAATTCTGCTGACCAGTATGTCTGACATTAATAGAGAAACTCATAACTATCCTCTAAGCCTCATTCCAAAGATTGATCCACATCTCCAGGAAAGGACCCCAATGCATAAAAGAGAACAGCAGCTTTCATATAAGCCTGCTTCAGGTATCCAGGTATGGCTGAACAAGCCGTTGGGTGTGGTTGCAATCCTCTCAAAGTTAATGTGTAAAGCTTCTCTGATGTTGTTGCTGAATAGCAGGCTGCCCACCAGCTACTGAGTTTCCATGATGGTAGATATCACTTACCACATATTCATCCAGCCCCAAGGCCATGATCAGAAACTCACACTGGGTGATCACCTTACTGCTGACTATAGCTGCAGATGTTCTAGCATGCAGTCATGATGGATTGGTCCATGTCCTTCAGCCTTCAACACCCAGCAGCCCCATTATAACATGACTTTTTCTCTCAGCGAGCTTCTTCACAATAACCTTAGACCTCATCATATAGTACATCTGGGCAAGTGGGAGCAAAGAATAAATGGAATGATTATTATTAAATGTTTATTAAGACTAATATATATGCAATCACACACTGTGTGGATATTAGTAATGTTCACATTACAAAGGTGCACGTCCTACTTAACGGTGGGGTATAGATTGTTTTAAAGGAAGACTACGAGCATCCAACAACTCTTAAAGAACTGTATCCTATTATTGATGTGTATATTTTATCGTAATCTGCAATTTGTTGCCTTAACCTAAGCTAAAAGAAGCGCAAGGTCAGGAGAACTGCAAAATGTTACCTTCACTCATGAAGAATGCTGGAATGGTGTATAGCAAGCCAATAGAAATCAAGCCAAACAAAAAACAAAGGAGGATTCTGGAACCACCTTATAAGAGAAGGGGTGCCATTGGCGCTTTTGAAGATGCTTGATGACTTTGAAAGGGCTCCTTGTTGACTGCAACACTGAAGAAGCAGAACCTCTCACCAGTTTAAGACTCATGTCTTTAACTTCCACAGGCAGAAGCAAACTCAGGGAAGATCCCAGCACAGGGACTCATCACCAGGGTGAAACTCTGCTTCATTCATTATGCACAATAATGCTAATCTGGCATGATCTAACATGACAAAGCCGGGTCTCACACTCCTGTGCCACCCCCTGCCCCCACCACCAAACAAACACACATACACCACGGTTCCAGACTAACTTCTTCTACTGGTAGCTGCTTATTGAAAATTGTAGGAGAACCAGTGCTTGCAGTAAGTAGTACTTCTGAGCGGCTATAGTTGGGCCTAGTTCCTGCAGTAGGAACACAACAGAAGTTTCTCATTCTGGAAAAAGGTTCCTGCAGTGTGAAAGCATCTAATCACGGTCAGATAGACAGACAGACACACTCACACACACACACAAACACACAGGTTTGTAATTATATCTTTGTGGGGACTCTCCATTCATTTCTACGGGCAACACTCTAATCCCAACATGACGACCATAACCTCTGCACAGACCTAACCTTAACCGTAAGTGACCAAACAACAT